TGACACACACACCCACATTCGATTGTGATACAGTTTTTAAAGTTATGTGGATTCAGTTAGACTCATGACTCAATAGCCGTGAGTTACACCTAAAGTTGCCAAACGCTATCTAGTAAACATGTTTTTTGATTCTTACGCTAACTCATCCGACCAATGCCGAATTCGATAAAGTATAAAGATCCACACTAAATTAGATAACCTGCCACTCCACCGTGACCTTGTGGTGACTTTATATGTGCTATTGTTTGCTTCGGGTTTCCTATATCTGGCTGAATCTTGTTGTTCCAAAATTCATTTGGCAAAACACTCTTAATGGGCACAATATTCCTAAAACGAATATTTGTAAAGCATATTTTTATTAAGTATAATTTTTATTACTTGGCCGAATGTTCGTATGTCCGAATTCATAATAACATACTTTTAAGATGGCAGAATTTTATTAAGCATAATTTTGCTAGGTAATATGAGTATCCCGGGGGCGTCCCAGTGAAGTGGCGCACGCTAAGGTGCGTCGATCCTGAGACGCCCCCATATGGGCGTAGGAGGGTACCGGGGGGTTTTAGTGGAGTAGGATCAGTGTGGCCTTCCGCACTGGTCCTGCTTGAGTAGGGTCGGCACTGTTTCCCGTGCCGGCGAGTCCCACACACGCCGTGCGCCTAGTCAGCGTCACGGTATGGTGCGTAACTGCATTTCCCCTCGTCACAAAAAAAAAAAGGTAATATGAGTATTTGTGGTCAGTGCGTTAGGTTAGGTCAGTGTTCAGCGGAGTGATGGCTTGTGGAATTTTCGAAGACATGGCCTGGCTGTTACTTCGATTCCACGACCCATCGCCGAGGACGAAACTCCGTGGGGTTTTAGTCGGTGGGCCCGTGCCTGCCGACAATGGGAAATTTTGTTTTCATCTGGTTGGTAGGCAGGGGAGAGTCCGACATAATCCGCTCACTTTCTAATGAGCGGGAATGCGTCACGCATTTCCCCACGTTAAAAAAAAGTAAAAAAAAGTCTAGTGTTGAGCGAGCGAAGCGAGCGTACCGGTGACAACTTCAGGCGAAGCGGCGCCAGTCACCATAGATAAATAAACAAGGATAAGTTATTTTTTTGTGTGACAAAAGACGATTCCAACTGTGAACTTTCTGCGATATGATGGTTCTGCTTTTTAATTAATGTGGATATTAAATTTATACCTAAAGATGGTTCTGTCTGCTAACTGAGTGAATGCCAAATGATTTTCTGCGAAATGAAGTTTATGCCATAAGCTGATATGCATAATAATATTATGACATTAAAAGTTCTAAGTTTCAAGGTACACTCGTTTACTACATTTGTGTGACTAAAGACTGAGGTCAAAGTATTAGTCAAGTATAATTTTACATTCAGCAAGTAATATACATCAGATCTCAGAATCAGAAGCAGGGATGGTTTCTGACTGACTGATTTAGGATGGTGTAGCATTAAGATTTTTGTCAAGGCGGTATGTGATTGTTGAAATAAGACAAAAGTCTGATGGTGAATGAAAATTAGACAAACCTGTGTTTACTAAAATTTTTAGTACTACTAGTGCGAATAAACTGATTAAAATATCCGTTAATTATTTGTGGTTTAATAATATTTGTAAAACTTGTCTTTTAGACGACTTATATAAAAGAGCATCAATGAACATAACAAAAAGCAAAGATACAATTTTATTGAAAGTTTATAATAGGTATTATAATGATTAATGATGTTAGTCAATGGCCAAATATCTACTTACCTTTTTTAGGTATTTCCCATATATTCTATTAGTTTCGGAGTTGGGTTTTTTATAAATTAATATGTTCTACTTGTTTAGGCCGGGTTGTGCCATATTCATCCTATGATGTCTCACTCTAGATTCTCATTATTTTTTCCTTAATAAACCTATTTATGTTCCTTACTCAACCCACAATTATTATTTCATTTTAACCTTTTTTAAAGTTTACTGGAATCACGAAATATACAGTCCCTAGACGCCTAATAGACAAATGCGCCTGACAACACATCTGACTATTAAACCAGATAAATAATCCCGCAGGGACATATTCAATCCGTGTCTACCGCTTTCGTGACCTGTTGACATGCGTTCGTAGTGCAAAAAAGTCCAAATGGCTCCGTGTACCACCATGTTTGTTTGTTTAGCCAATTAAGGCGCAGGACTTCTGCTTCGTCTTGCCTCGAGCAGTTGCCAGAATGCATTTAGTACTGAAAATATAATAACGTTGTGTCTAGGGGCTACTTATGTAGTCTGACACCGGTATAAAAAATACAAAAAAAACAACTTTAAAAACGAAAATGAAGCTAAAATTTAAAAAATAATATCCGGTTTACAAGAAATCGAGCGTCTTTCAAGTCGGTTTTTATTTTTTATTAAAATTTTTAGGGGATCAAATTACAACTATTACTCATCGGACAAAAAAGAATCTTCTTAAATCGGATCTGATATCTCGGAGTAATTGGTGTACATACAAAAAAAATATAGGTACCGGCTGAATTGCGAACCTCCTCCTTTTTGAAGACGGTTGACAATTTTAACCGACGAACTAAAATTGACTAAATGTGGGTAAAAGTACCAGGGCAACATAATTCCTTGTGCGGAGTCGTGGTAGAATCCCTAACGGGGACCCCGCAGCTTCTCATTAAGCAGTTTGAAGGTATTCGCAGGACTTTTTTAGCGGATATTATGCTGTAAAGCACCCGTAAGAGTTGCGTGGTCAGCCACTGGGGGGGTCCGTAAGACTTGCGGGAGCCAGGTGTGAGGTCCGTTCGGCGGTGTGCCTCTTAAAGGCGCCGTCGTCTGTAAAAAGATTCTTTACCGGCGTTAAAAAAAAAGGGCAACATAACTTCGAAAGAGCTTTTCGACTTAGTCCTACTACAATATGTCCGTTTAGTCTAATTAACTTCATACTGCAGATACTAGGTATTATGGACGGCACTATACTTCATTCCAGAACATTAAAAAGAAGTAAAACAAGGTTCTTTTATAGGTGCACATTTTCCATTATAAATATTATGCCATCTCCTTGCCATTATAAATATTTTGGTATAAAGAAACTGGACCACAGGGTTATAGAAAAGTGAAATTTCACAAAAAACAACAGAAGCCACAGGTACATTTTACGAAATAATTAATTTACCTCAATATGCATTAGGTCTATGTCATAATGTATTTCAGTCTTTACCAAGAAAAAAAGCAGAAGATAGATTTTGTCAATTGGAATGCCATCGATAATATGGTGGAGCAATTTGTGATTAATATCGGGCAATTGTTATCCTCTTCGGTGTCCTTATCTGGAGCAGAGAGTAATTAATTAAAATTGATCTACATATAAGTTATTCTTGTACTTGAAAAGAGTACTCCATGTTGGAAATAATAATAAAAATAATAAAAAATTTAGTATGGTGTATAATTTGACCCAGTTCGAATGTTTGTAGTATCCGGTTATTACCATTAGGTAATATCAAAATTTATCATATTTCATCATTATACATGACATGAAAAGGTTTAAAAATCCTGCTTCTTACAGCTTTTTTTTAATGTTATCTGGAATAAAGTATAGGCGTGTAATAAATTAGAAAAAAAAATGCTTTGAGATCAATAATATATAAAACAGGCACAAAACAAACACATAACACAACAACACAACACAACACAACTAGTAAAACAATAATAATAAAGAAAAAAATACAAGTATAAAATAAAATTCAAAAACATATCAGTTCGCCGGTAGTCAGTCCTTGTCGCTCATAGAAGGACTAAACGGGTATTATCTAGAAAACGGTAGAACTATGTATATGGATACAATCAGCAGGTCCCATTCTGAAAGAGTACTCACCTCACACTTGGAAAACAAAACTTATATGATATGATTTTGTAATTAGAATATGAATTTCAAAATCATATTATACAAATTCGCTTTTTATTTTAAAATCACACGCGGATTCCGCGAAAAGCGAGTTTTTGTCCTTACAGAATAGCACTGCTGGAACTGAGCTAATGTTTAGTCATTCAAGCACAAATTACCACAAAATGTCTAATTTTCATAGTCGATTTATTATATTAAACAGATAAAGCTCAAATCAGTTCGAGTTTTACAGTTTTGAGTAACTTAACATGTGGTTGCCGCCAATTTTATATATTGTCCGGTAATATTGCGTAGTAATTATGTATTTATGTAGTTAAGGCATACTTACATCTAATAGTTATTTATGCAACTGTTGTATAATGAGAAGATAATTTAAAATAAACCCGTTTGGGTGTTATAATGTTTTTTTAATAAATTTCATAATTACACTCCTTCGCTTTTTAAATCTCTTCCACGACAAGGGCTCTCATCAAACAGTAAAAAATTTCACTGCTGGATGAGTGGTATTAGGTGGTATTATGAATTTAAAAAAAAAAGAACATTTTCACTCACGCGCGCTTCTCTACCAGAGAGCCGAAAGTTTTCAATAATTTTAAGTTCTTAGAACGCCCCATGGTTTCAGAATCTTTTATAGAGGATTCATATCATGGGTGTAGATAAAGTCTTGTATGTAACTGTTATAATTAGGTATTAAAACACCCATGTGATACTATTATCACACTCGGCTGCGCGTCGTGTGATAAACTCACATTCGTTCGTTAGGTGGAAGGACTGATGACCTGAGACACGGGGTTTTTTCTAGTTTAGGTGTCAGTCCGCCATAATTAGCTAAGTGACATTTTTACATAGTGTTTTTAATGGAATAAGAAACTGATTATGGTGAGAAATAAAGAATTATTTTTTATTCGTGTTTTAATACCCCTTATTTTACAACAGTTGCATAAATAACTATTTTGAAATTATGATATTGTATGTTGGCAATAAGTTAGAGCTAGCGCATGCATACAACTTTTCGTTGAACAACTATTATCTTGTGTATCATATGTTTATAGGAATATATTTAAGTGTATAATTAATTACATAATATATAATTATACTTACATACATATATATTTGTTACAGACGCGGTCTCCGCACGCTGCTCATACACATGCTGGTGCTCTGCTTCATACCACACGTGGCTTTGGTGGCCCAGAACTGTACCATTATGGCCCAGTTGTCCCACGCATTAGATTCTTCCTTATTTCTACATAACAAGGTGATACTTTAATACAGACGTACTGCAACATAGGTACACATTGACGTGGTATTTTATTTTTAACTTTCATGGTCACTAACATATTTGTTTCTTAGCTATTCTGAGTTTATGAAACTGCTTAAAAAAGCTGACGCCCTTTAGCCGCTTATGCTTGTAGTTGGTGCTTCCTTTTTTATGTATTTGTGTGCCTGCTTATTTTGTTGTATTTTCGTGTTGTTTTTACATCAACGCATGCTGTGGCACCTTAATTTGTAAGTGCAGTAAGCTATATGCAATTTTAGCTCTGTTTGTACCAAGAACTGCTGTAACTTATTTTGGTGACCCTTAGCAATAAATAAATAAATTAGGTCTATACGCACACCACTCATTGAAGAAAACCCGTTTAAACGGATTTAAATGCGTATTTTTATTACTTTTATGACGTTTCGAGGTAGCTCGACAAAGAAAAATTAAATCTAAAGAAAAGTTTACTAGAAAATCGCGTCGCGTAGAAAAAGCGTCGAAATTTTCCTAGCCTTAGGCTGCAAAGCAACGCCATTTCTTCGCATTGTAGGTAACCCACAATGTCAAATAAATACTTTTTCAAGTATTAAACATTTGAAAGAAAAACCTACCTATGCGAAGAGATGGCGCTGCCTTGCAGCTTAAGGCTAGGAAAACTTCGACGCGGCCAATAGGGCCGTGGTAGCATAATGGTCAGTGCATTAGCCCGGATTGCGAAGGGTGCGGGTTCGAGTCCCGTCCGCTGCCTGGTCCGCTTGGATTTTTTTCTAGTAAACTTTTCTTTAGATTTAAACATCTAGCAGTTAAATGCTTAAAAATAAATAAAAACATAACTATAATTGCTATTTCTTCTTTCACATGTTTAATACTTGAAAAAGTATTCATTTGACATTGTGGGTTACCGACAATGCTAAGAGATGGCGCTGCCTTGCAGCTTAAGGCTAGGAAAATTTCGACGCGGCCAATAGGGCCGTGGTAGCATAATGGTCAGTGCATTCGCCCGGATTGCGAAGGGTGCGGGTTCGAGTCCCGTCCGCTGCCTGATCCGCGTGGATTTTTTTTCGAGTAAACTTTTCTTTAGATTTAAACATCTAGCAGTTCAATGCTTAAAAATAAATAAAAACATAAGAAAATTAAAATCAAATTTCTGACGACGAAGCCTGAAAAGGATAGAAACAAGATATAAAAAGACGCATTTTGAAACAGTTTAAGTGTGTTTTATTTAATGGTCACTAACATGATAGTAATTTATATTATTAACTACTCCAGCGAGGGAGTCCCAGATATTTCAGCTCTGTTGCAAGCGCCATGATCTCGGAGTAACTAACGGAGGTAACGAGTACCGACATATATGGAACTCGCTAACAACAGTGTATAATACCGGCCATACACACTACGAGAAATCGTTACCATTAGACTGTACAGTCCGAACGGTACCGATAAATCGTAGCGTGTATGTTATAAAACTGCACAGTGTCCTATACGTACGCCACGTACGATAAACTGTACCGTTCGAACTGTACAGTCTGATCGTAACGATTTCTCGTAGTGTGTATGGCTACCATAAGCCGCGGTACGAAACTCTAGCGCTGACCCTAATTGCACAGAAGTAAAAATGAAGATGTCTTGGGGGGAACAGAGGTGCGCGGGTGGTCGTGCGTTGCGCCGATTGGCTCTCCAGTCGTACCCATGGGCCGCTATCCCCTCCGCGATTTGTTCAGCGCTAGAGTTACGTGTCGCGCCCTGTACATGGTAGCAAACCAGTAAATAACATAAATTATTATAATGTTAGTGACCATGATAGTTAAACACAATATTCTATTGATAGGGAAGGCCTGTACCCCAACAGTGGGGATAATAATAGGCTGATGATGATGATGAAGGTGCGTCCAGCGCCCTATTTCCCCAAGTCGACATAATATGTCGCTGACACATGGAAGGTGACGATCTGTTGTGGGATGATTTTATATTAATTCTTCTTTGAACGCATAATCAGTGATATCAAATGTGAAATGTATTCGTTCTTTATAAATTAAGAAATCATTTTATCAAGATTTGGCTGAGAGCCATTTTGTAATTTAACAATTGTAACGCAAATCTTATGCAGCTCTGACGTCATGTGAAAAATTACTGACAATTTGACAAACAATATGCTGACTTTAGTTTTTTGAAAATCCCTTTGAACTTAATATTTTTTTCGCGATCAAAAGTATCCTGTCACAATACAGGTTATAAACTATATGTGAGCCAAATTTCATCTAAATCCGTTCAGCCTTTTCTTGCGTGATTGATTAACACCATTATTGGTCCATGCTGTAACTATAGTACATTACTGCAGCGGCCAGCAAAAAGGCATTGATGGACGAACGTGTAAATTTGAGCTCAGGCGAAGCCGTGGCAAACATATTTTAGTATATCAATGCCTAGCGAGGAGCTCGATGGCGCAGGTGGTTAGCGCTTTCAGCTGCGATCGTTGAAGTTAAGCATATTCGCAGTGGTCGGTCATTGGATGGGTGACCAAAAATCTTATATCTCGAGTTCTGCTTCGTTCGTCGTTTCTTCGCTTCCGTGTGGAAGGCACGTAAAGTCGTTGGTGCCGGCTGCATCTGCAGTCATTAGCACCTGCCAATCCGTACTGGGCCCGCGTGGTGGGTCATGGCCCAATCTTCCTATTCCATCCATAGGGAAGGCCTGGCCGTAATAGGCTGATGATGATGATGAATGTCTTGCTGTGGCCAAGGCTTTTCTCAAATCATGAGAAAAAGGGTTTTAAAACAGACAGCTGGGAAATTGTTGTTATTTTTTGAATTCCAGGTGTACACAGCGTTAGCACTGGGTGACGCCGTGGTGGCAGTTCAAAGGGAGAGGGTGTTTATGTCCCGATACTTGTTTGACGTCACCAGCCGGGAAGATATCGACTTGTGAGTCGATTTATTTCTATAACCAAGGATAGCCAACCTTCATTTATGAACGTGGCATATATCTAAAGAAATGTCTCATGAGCCTGTGCCATAAAATTTGTTGTGACTTTGTGAGTATTGGGAAAGTAATAATAATAAATATTATCAACTTAAAGCTCTTTATTTACAACAACAAAAAACTGGTTTTCGCTCGTCATATCGACAGTGGAAAGGCAAAATAGCTTATACTCCACTTTGGTCGAAAATGAGTTATATATTATATATTATTATCGTTTGATTCAGATTTTTTGAAGTGAAACTTCATTATGCACGCTTGACCTGGCACGGTAAGCTGGCGAATGCGTTACGCGTTACGAAAAGTGTGTTCGGGCGAGGCGAACGGGAGTTGAGTGGGGAATATAAGGAAGAGAAAGCAGTGCGCGCGCACACTCTCTTTCTCTTATAGCTAGTAAATAAAATATGTATACATGTATATATTGTAAACACACATACACATAATTATCTAATATATAAAATTCTCGTGTCGCGGTGTTTGTGGTTAAACTCCTCCGAAACGGCTCGACCGATTTTCGTGAAATTTTATATGCATATTCAGTAGGTCTGAGAATCGGATTTAATCTATTTTTCATCCCCCTAAATGTTAAGGGTAATCCAATCCACAATTCAATTTGCTCTTCCGCCTTCACCGGTCGATAACCGATCAACGATCAATCGATCAGTTATCCCGGCTAGATGTCTACCTGGGTCACCTCTCATCCAGCAAACATCACGGAGTAGGGATGAGAAGGAAGCCGGTTTCCTGTCTTCCTCAATATACAGTTTTCGGCCATTTTTTTTGGTTTCATTTGTGTATCGATCGTAGCAGTGACTTATACGTATTATTTTAATTTTTCTGTGCATCTATTACGTTAATTTTACTCTCATCGTGAATTTATTATTAATTTCCAGTGCAATAATTATTTTTTCACATTTTATTAATAACTAATAAAGACAGTTTTAACTATTAGCCGAAACGGCCCGACCGATTTTCGTGAAATTTTATATGCATATTCAGTAGGTCTGAGAATCGGACAACATCTATTTTTCATCCCCCTAAATGTTAAGGGTGGTCCCTACTTAAACAATTATTTTTGGACCATCATCATACAAAAATACATACAACCCTAAATTTTCACCCTTCTACCACCAACCCCTATTTTTTATGGCGGTACGAAGTTCGCTGGGCAACTATATAGTAGGTATTTATATAAATATTCAATATACAGATGGTGACATTGTAAAGCTCCATACCTATATAAATAATTATAAAAAAGTGGCTTCAGACTTTCTCATTTCAGAACTGATACAATATTAAAAAAAAAAGAGCAAGACACAATAGAACGTGACGTTAGCAGTATTCGAAAATTTAAAAAAATCGAAAATTGAATGCCGTAGAATGAAAACCGAGGTTCCCTAAGCGATGCGTGTGGAACTGAATTTTCTTTCATTGAATTTACGTCCTTCAAATTTGTTTGTGTAGTTTTGTAAAATTGTTTTTTCGTTATATAGTGAAAAGCTCTTCCACTGTTTCCTTTTGTTTATTTGTTGTTAATTTTTCTTTGTATTCTAGATATAAATGCTGATTCATTATATTTACATAGTATTTAATACACCCGTGTGAAGCCGGGACGGGCCGCTAGTATATATATATATATATATATACCTACACCTGGTGAAGTGGGACCTGGATAAGTGAGAAAATAATAATAATAATAATAAATTTTTATTTTCTCATACCACAATCTAAATAAAACTTACATGAAGCAATGGTACAATGTTGCAGACTGTGGTGGGCTGATACCTGAACTAGGAAAAATCCTGTATCCCAGGTTATCAACCCTCCACCCCAAACAATGGTCAGAAAACTTACAAATTGTATGCACTTAGTGAGACACTTTATAAATAATCATGATGGGAAGTTTTGACACACACTATTCATATAAAGAAGTTAAATTCTAAATAAATAATACATTTAGGACATTTTATAGTTTAAGATTGCAATGCCAATACAGGATTATTTATCAACTTTTAATATTTTTTCTGTCGCAAGATAATCAAAAGATTTTAATTTTTCTTTTAGAGTTGTCTTTAAACCAGCTTTATTCATTTCAATTATACGGGATATATCATCAAAGTACCTATAGAGAAACGGCCCAGTATAGTACATCTGACGTCGAGCAAATATTGAATTATAATTTGGGACTTTCGTACGATATCGCCTCTTATGTTTAGGAAGTTGGGATGGGTCTATCGTTTTATGATGCCGAAGGATAGTATTATAAATAAATAGCTGCCTAACAGTTAGTAAATTAGCCTCCTGGTATAACTGGCGTGTCGGATATTTCCTGGGTTTACCTAGCATGACTTTGAGAACAGCTCTCTGTGCTCTTTCAATCTCCAAAAGATGGGTTTTAGCAGCACCACCCCAAACCGGAATACAATAGGTTAGTAGGGATTGACAAAGAGAAAAATAGATTTTTATAATAAGCGTTGGGTCAGCTGCTTCACGAAGGTTTTTAAAAATGTGAAGCAATTTTCGTACTCTTTTGCTTAGGGATGAGATATGAGGTGCCCAATTGAAATTTTTATCAATTATGATACCCAGATATTTGTGAGTATTAGTTTCAATTAAATAGGGACAATCACAAGGGGGGTCAATAGTATCGGAGGAACACGTTTTAAAGTGGGCTTTTACGTTAAAATTAATGGGAGGTTTAGTAGCACTAGAGATTCTAAAGCATATGAATTTTGTTTTAGGTACATTGATGGTTAGAAGATTGTTGTCTAACCACCCTATAACCTTTTTAAGACCTCGTTCAGCAAATTTCCGGACTAGAGACCAAGTTTTACCGTGAAAGATTAGGGCGGTATCGTCTGCAAAAGCCAGCGTGTTACCGTTGTCCATTCTGATTTTGCAAAGGTTGTTGACGTAGGCCAGAAACAGGGTAGGGCCAAGCGTGCTACCTTGCGGAATACCATAGTTGTTAGGGGAGCTAGAACTAACAACTGTGGAGAGAAACTTCCATAACTGGACCTCATGCTGAGGTCCAGACACCTTGGCACTGAATCACCTCTGTTAGTGGGACGAAGCGAACCTCTATATCTGGAATTCGTTATTTCGATTTTATCATCACAGTGACCTCCGTAACTGAGACAGCGAAAGAATTTTATATGCATTAACTTCTGTAACTGAGATAGCATCGTTTTGCTTGTTTACCAACTTATTCTTATTCTACCCGCTAATTCTACGAGTACACTTATTTATTAGTTATGAGTTTCAATGACCATCAGTTTTAGTTTTGTTTTGCTATCATACGGACGTTTATTTGAAAAATGCCGAAATGAAGTCTCAGATCTTTATCAGTACGTGAAAAACTGAAGTTGATATCTGTTTTAGAAAGTGGGAAGATCGCGATGAAGTCAGTGTCGAATTCAATATACCAAAACCTACTTTTTGTAGAATAATTAAGAATAAAGATTAAATTCAATCGCAGTGTTCTGAAGGGCAAGGAAAACTGCGTGTACGTTTATCAGAATATCCTGAACTCAAACAGTTTGCTAACCTGGATCAAGCAACTTCGTACCAAGAACGTTCCAGTAAGTGGACCGATGATTAAGGAAAAGACACAAACAAGATTTCGTGCAAAGACTCGGCGTTCAAAATTTTTGTAGCAGCAATGGATGGTTGGAAGGGTTCAAAAAAAGAAACGGTATAGTTTTCAAAGATATTTGTGGAGAAAGTAACGCTGTTGATGTTAAAAAATGTAGCCAATGGATTGAAGACCTGCCAGTTCTTCTGCGCAATTATTCTGTATATAATTTTTGTAATTGATTGATACATTTTGTTTACATTTTTGTAATCTTTATAAAAACGTGTTTGATTATTTTTGTTACTTACATTCTTTATATTTCTTGATTTATAATGAAGATTAAAACTTTCGTTTAATGTTTATATAATACGTTGTTTTATTTAAAAAAATACATCTCTATAAGTGAAATTACTTGTATTCTGACCTCTATTAATGAAACCCTCTAAAAGTGAAACGGATATTTATTTACACCTAGCTAATTAAGACCATGGGTTAGTGGAATATCTCTTTTAGTGAGACTAATTCTCTTGTCCCTTGAAGTCTCACTTATCCAGGTTTCACTATACATATAGATGGAGCTATAGAAGTTTCAATTCAGTCGTGTGGTCATAAGCACACTGGTTTTTTTCTGCGTCTATCTGTTTATATTACGTGAATATTTGAGTATCTTTTTGGTGATTCAGCAACTCAACTTTTTTAAGATTTTTATTGTTCACAACTGAAGCGACATTCATTTAGGTGTTTTTTGAACCAATGGCGCTTACGGCCTACTTTTTGGCGTATGATTTGATGTTTGCTTGACAAAAAAATTATGTTGGGCCGAGTGATTTTCGCTTTACCAACATCTAATTCGTAGAGTAAAGGCACTTTGTAACTTTTTAATAGGAGGATATTTAGAAAGTATTATTTTATGAATATTTTTTTATTCATATGGCACTACGTATCATTTAAAATAGGCAATGATGTTTTTTGTGAATAAAAAAACTTTGATCCTCGTTTCTGAAAAGTTGTAGAGTACACAGTTGTAGAGTCACTAGAGCAGCGTTTAAGCAATTTTGCTTTTCCATTATGGATATAATACCTACTTAATTATATTTATAACACATTTGCTCGTAAAGCGTCTCTTATTGCACCAATTTCAATATCATAATCTATCACATTACACACGCGTGCTGTAATGTAAAGTAAAACGCATGGCTTATTATGTTCCGTCTAACAACGAATGATACTTTTTAATACAGTTGCTCAAAAAGTGGCGTATTGCAGGGACGTGTAGCGTTCGGGATCTGGGCTATTTCACACTCGTGCTTTTTTTTGCCTTTCCCGAACTCGTGCGTTTTCTTTCCCAACTGTCAAAATTATTTCTATTAAAAAAAAACAACCATGAAGTTTTAACTAAAAAAAATCATAGAAGTTTTTGCGATTCGTGCAAATAGGTTTATTTGTTTTTAAAAAGAAGCTACCTATACTAATTTGTCCAATATCAGAATTAATTAATTGATTGAATGAGTTAGGTAAGGTTTCAGTTCATTTCATATCATTAAATTTCAATTTCATTTCTTATAATAAAAAATACTAAGTACTAAAGACTTGGTTGTATGGGCAGTTCCCTTTGCCTACCAGAATGGGTGAAAAAAAACTGCTTACATTCTACGGTTGGCGCCATTTTCCGAAATTTTCTTTGCGAGTTTAGTTGTTTTTTACACAAAATGAGTAATTTCGACCTAATTTTTTTTGAATTAACTCCACCGGAACTCAGTATAATTGCACAAAATGCTTCGGAGTTCATTTTACCGGAAAAGTCAAAAATTCGCTACATATCTACATACGATGAATTTATTGCGTGGAAAGAAGAGAAAAAAGCGAATAGTTTTTCAGAAAATGTTATGTTAGCATACTTTTCCAAACTCTGAGCAAAATTAAAACCTTCTACGTTATGGTCAAGGTTTTCGATGATAAAAAGTATGCTGAAAATAAGGAACAAATGGATATAAGTCAATATCCAAAATTAAATTCTTTCTTAAAACGACAATCAGACAGACGGGTTTACCAGTAAAAAGTCGAAAATATTAACATCGAATGACGTGGAAAGGTTTTTGAAAGAAGCTCCCGATGATTGTTATTTAGCCACAAAGGTAATTTATTAATAAGTATACATATCTACATTTTTCTTTAGTGTTCAGTTTACAAAATCGCAAAATACAGTCAATACATTATTTATATGAATCAAATCGTTTTTTTTAGGTTGCTCTGATTTTTGGCGTTGTTGGAGCTTGCCGCAGAGAGGAGTTAGCCAATATTACTTTAAAAGATATTGAAGCCCATGGAGAAATGCTACTTATCAAGATTCCAAACACAAAAAATAAGATACCGCGAAGCTTTGTTGTTGAAGGAGATTTTCTCACAATAGTGAAAAAATATATGAACCAGCGGTCGCAAAAAGGAAAATCCGACCGTTTTTTTCAAAATTTCCAAAAAGGGAAGTGTACAGCTCAAGTAATCGGCATAAACAAATTTGGTAATATGCCAAAAGAAATAGCTACGTTTCTTGGTCTGCCGGATGCTGAGTGTTATACTGGGCACAGCTTCAGAAGGACCTCTGCTACATTATTGGCAGATTCAGGAGCCAATTTGACGTCCTTAAAGCGACTAGGTGGTTGGAAATCGGACAAAGTTGCAGAAAGCTATATTGGTGATTCATTAAACAACAAACTAGAAACTGGGAAAAAGATCACACAATCCATTAATTTAAGGTCCAGTCCGTCTCCTTCACATGCTGAAGAGAACGTTCGTCCATCTACGAGTACCTTCGTTGATAATGATAATTCATCAGATCCAATTCCATCAACTAGCAAACGCCATTGTATGACAAATATACATGAACAATCAGTATCAGTATCAGTAAATATGCAACGTAAAACTTCCCCAGTTAGTATAAAAAACTGTACCAATTTCAATGTATATGTGAATTATAACTTTTATAAGAAATAAATGATTAGTTAATTGAGTTTATTGTGTTTTTATAATTTGATTAAATTGCTTCATTTTTTCGCAACTGTATTAAAAATAGTCGTTCAGTACACGTACGGAACCGTCATTGCAACTCGTTCCGACTGTCAACCCTCGCCTTCGGCTCGGGTAGACATTTGTCGGAACTCTTTGCAATGACAACCATTCCGTACTAGTAATGAAATATACTATTTTTAAATCTTAGCAAAGAGTTTTTATGTCAGAAAGGTAGCCAACATTTTCTTAATAAAATGAACTTTGGGAGATAATATATAAACATTTAATTCTTTAATTTGATTCATTTTGACAATAAATTACAACCATGTATCGGTAACCAATTCTCAAAAATATTAATTTACTTTATTAGTAACACTGGTTGGTTTTTTGGTCCTTTGCCTAAAAAAACGTTGATGCGCGTGCATCACTAATCTGTGAAAAAGTTATTTCTTTTTCTTTTCGTTGTATTGTTTTTATTTGAAAATATTGTCAAGTAGTAACGAATTTATTAATTTGACTCCGCCGGAAGTCGAAAAACGCTACGCTAAGCCTCTTGCCCGAAAAATCCATGGATAGATACTTACAGTGAAGCTTAACAAAATTTCATCTTATGGAAAACAAACAAAGGTGCAAATTAATTTTCAGAAAGTACGTACGTAGGTAGTATTATTTCCTCGTAAATGTGTTATAAAACGTCGTATGGCATACGTGCGGTTTGATAATTACAGCCTCTGCCTTCTTATAGCCCTCACCTACAAAATATTGTGTCTGATGGCACGCGTGTCTTTGGTTCGCCATCCCTGGTATAATCATTAATGTACCTGGTGTATTGCGATTCTGTAAAATAAAATCTCACTTTGGAGTTTGATAGTTCCGAGTTCAGACATACATCCCCTTATTAATGAACGAGGAATAAGCTTAGACTAGTTACGCCGTGTTTTATTTGTATAAATCAAATGCTATATATCATTAAATAAACAGAGACAAAACATGGAGTAACTAATTCAAGCTTATTCTTCGTTTATTAAGATGGGGGTATTAGTTTAATAATCATGACGTATTTACAAGGCAAAATGACGCTATGACTATATAAGTAGCCAGTAATAGATGGTCAAATGATCATTGCCAACAATTTACACAATTATGCGTGCACAGGGACTACTGAAAAACTCGACGGCTACGGCTGTCAATGCACTGTTTTATTGATGACGTTAATCGTCGCCGCGGGCGCAGCCGCCCACACATACATGACTCATACAGAACATAACAAAAGTGAAATAGTTCTTTCTTTCATTGAAAACTTTCATGGTCACTAATATTATAGTAATATAAGTTATTTACGGGATTGTTAAAATCAAGGAAACTCGCTAAAAACAAGGTACATGGTAACAATCCCGTAAATAACTTATATTACTATAAAATCAACGTGATGTACTAACTATAAGTTTTCTTAGAAATTAATACTACTCAGTCAATCTATTTATTTTTATTATTAACATTAGTTTTTTGTTAACATCAGTTTCCTGAGAACCTCACAAGAACCTAACACTTTTCCGGAATAAAGAGTATCCATTCGGAGACGGGTTCCGCGACCACAGCCGCCCTCTCGGCACGCACTAGGGGGACCGCGGTCCTCATAGTGCGTGTCGGATGACGGTGCAGAAGTATTGTCTGGTTTTTAGTGGCCCTGTTCAGGGCGTAGGTAGGGCCCCGTTCACTTTAGCGAGCTCCGAGCTCCAGGGCTGGCTGAAGGGGACAGGGAGGAGTCCCACATACCTTCTTCTCGCTTTCTCGCTCCCCCAGTGGTTGAAGGATGCGTAAGACATTTCGCAGACACAAAAAAAGGTCATAAACTATGTGTGTACCAAATATCATTCAAATCCTTTCAGTATTTGTTGCGTGATTGAGTAACATATAGGCATGATTGTGTAAAATATCAAATTTATATTTGGAGGATTATGCAAAATACTGTCTAAATTGCTATTTCTTCTGTGGAACGTTTAATACTTCTAAAAGTATCTCGTTCCATGTAGTAATTGCCAGCAATCTAAAGAAATGGCACAGCCTTGCAGTCAAACAATTTAAGAAATACATAGGTAATAGAAGAAATCTTTAGTAAAATCTTTCTTTTCATTTATGATTCTAGCAGTTAAATTAATAAAATACAAAACAATTAACTGCATTGCTATTTTTTCTTAAGAATGTAAAATTATCTCACTTGTTAATTTAATTGCCATAGAGTGATGTTTTTTCTAGTCAAATTTTCTCTAGATTTATGTAAATATCAGTTTAATGCAAAAGAATATAATTTATCAGTTATATATATATTTTTTTTAAGCATATAAATGCTAGATAATTTAGTGCTAAAACATTGTGGGTTACCTACAATGCGAAGAGATGGCGCTGCCTTGCAGCCTCAGAAATACTAGAGAAAATTTGACACAGACAATTAGGGCCGCGGTAGCATAATGCATCCGCCCGGATAATGGAGGGTGCGGGTTCAAGTCTCGTCTACTGCCTGGTCCGCGTGGAATTTTATCTAGTAATTTTTAATTTTTTTTCAGATCAGCTTTGAAGCAGACGTTCGAGTCGACGGATAGTATATTAGAAGAATTACCACAAGCAATGGGCAGAGATAATGATTGGTTGTCTCTTTAGTAAGTAGCCAAGAATATACCGAAATATATAAGAATTTAAATGTGAGTTGGTATCGATATTAGATCATATTTAATACCTAGAACTAAATTTGTTTCTTAGGTTTTCACGCACATCACTCATTAAATAAAACTAGTTTTTACGGGTTAATGCACGAAACTTTATTTATTTATTGACGTTTCGCAGCCTTTTCAGGTCTGCATCGTCAGAAACATTCTGTGTCATTCATGTTTCTGACGATGCAGACCTGAAAAGGCTGCGAAACGTCAATTCTGTGTCATTCATGTTTCTGACGATGCAGACCTGAAAAGGCTGCGAAACGTCAATAAATAAATAAAGTTTCGTGCATTAACCCGTAAAAACTAGTTTTACCTAGAACTAAAGTTAAAAATCTATTATGGGTGTTGTGCAATATTTTCGGAAATTCCAAGGCCAATTTTTTTTCTGATCAGTCTGTTTCCATAGATAAGATAAGCCAGTACCTACCAAAGGTGGCACCATTAGTTGACATTTTAATATTATAGTATATACGAGCTTACTGTTTATTTGATGGTAAGTGATCACCGTCACCCATAGACATCTGCAACACCAGGAGTATGGATGGAAACCAGTGCGGGCCGTGACCCACAACGGGAACCCAGTGCGGTTTGGTGGGTACTGACGACTGACGCAGTCTTCAGTACTGCGTAATGTGCCTTCAGAAGCACAAAAGAGATCGTGTAGGCAAAATTTGTGTCACCATCCTCTTAATGGCCTTGCGAAAGTTGCTGTTCTTCTAAAATGGCAGACCAATTGCGCTAACCGGTGCGTCATCGAGGTCTCACTTTTATGTATGTCGTGTCGTAGGATGATCTGAAAAACCGAATTTTCGCGAAAATCTTAGGCACTTTTTTAAAACGCGGATAATAAGACAATGTCGATCACATTTCTTAATCCTTCTGAAAAAAGATCACCTCAGAAAGATTGAGAAAAAAATTGTTTGGCTATTTATAATTCTAAAAGATTTCTATTTTTTACATTATTTATTTATTATTTATATGACCTGTGCCCCAGCAGTGGGGACATTAATAGGCTGATGATGATGATGATGATGATTTATAATTCTTGGATTTTTGGCTTCTTGGGTTCAATCGTTAACATTAAGATTGAGGCATTCCTAAACTTTTTTTCATTTTTAAATCTGTTTTTTATATTTTTTATTTTATAGTCATAATTGTTTTATCATTTACATTTGTAATGGAAAGTTACTTCATGGGTTATCTCATATTGAACTCATTTTTCAAATTGACGACTCTGTATATAATACAGGGAGAAAAAAACAGCCCTTGCTGAGTTTCTTGCCGGTTCTTCTCAGTACAAGGTCTCCCGCCGTAGATTTGCGAACCGATGGCGTAGCTTTTCGACATTCACAAGTGCTTGTAACAGCCTAGACTGAATAAATGATATTGAATTTTTTTTTGAATTTTTTTGAGCAATGTTATCGCCATTGTTTATTTACCCGCGTTTTCTCAAAATCCCTAGGATTTTCGTGAAAGTTCCATTTATCAAATCATTCTACGACATATATAGAATATATGAGGAGCTTGCCAACAAAACGGTATAATTACGCATCTGGTCAAACTACATTTTTTACAGTCCGGAGGTTTAGCCCTTTGAATTTCCAATCAAATCAAAACCACCTAAACCTAAGACAGTATTAAAATTACTAAATCTGTAAATATAAAACCATGCCAAAAGCTCACTGTAGGTATGTCATTCAGTTTTTTACAGCTCCTGTAAAATTTAATTTTATGTTATTATACCATTTTGTTCGCCAACTCCTCATATACCTTAGTGAAATCTGCATAGTCCTCTTTTTAACGGCCGTTGTTTTACCGGTCATCGTGCCGGTGCGGTAATGCTTGTCTTTGTCTAGCAACGAATCGGTAAGAACGACAATAAGTAAGAGCTGGTTCCCACTTGTCGGGTGTCGGATCCGTATATTAATCGGATGTCGGTGCCTTTGTTCACACACACGATTAATAATCTGTTGTCGGTCACGGTTGAAGCTTTAACCAATTTTAGGCACTCTACGCGAGGCGACGATTCACGATGGACGTTGACGAAGTTGTTGTGTTGTGTGATGTATTATTATTTAAGAAAAAAACGAGGAAAGACAGCCAAGGAAAGAAAATATTGGGTGCACCCAATCCTGAGGGAAAGATTTAGTTTGGGAACATTTCAGAACTTAATAACTGAATTGAGAAGTGACGAAATTAAGTTTTTCAATTATTTAGAATGTCGATAAGTACATTCAACCATCTATTGGCTCAAATATCAGTGATATACTGCCAAAATACAAAGCGCGAAGAGGGTTATCGGCCCCGACCTCCGACAAATGTGAACAGCGCCATTCTTAATCATAGGCGAGCGAGATCCGACACGATTTTTTTCCGGGCGTAGAGGGCTGGCAAAACACCCGACATTTCTTGTCGGAGCCGACACAAAATCGGTTTCCGATAAGTGTGAATAGCTTCATATAAAATGCTCTGCCACTGAAACCTCCGATTAATATACAGATCCGACACCCGACAAGTGGGAACGAGCAGTAAGTTAACAAGAAGCCAATAACAGTTAACAACAAGTCTAAATTTGTTTGTTATCCTGGCCCCTTTCAAAGCTAAAAAAAGCGTCAATGTAACTTTTTCCCACATCTAAAAATGAAAGTCTGTACCGAAGTCTGACGTTTGCCGAAAAAATAAAACTCAAAATTCAAGTTGCGGTTGACGCCGTGCTCATCGTCGAGTCAATAGTGTTGTATGTATTTTTTAAATGATAGGCTTTGAGTTTTGAGATAATGCGTGGCAATGTTATTCAAAAATGACAATGTGCTTTTCATTGTTATAGAATCAACAGCACACCAAGTTACTACAAAGCGTAAAATCGTCAATATTGATCCTTCTCCAGTCTTTAAATGAGTTTATGTAACGATATTTAAGAAGCAGTACTATTTCTCTACCGTGCTGTACTAAGGCCCGTATTACAGAATGACAACTAAGTGTCGATATTTACTTGAGTACAGTTAGTTAGAAAGGGATGTCGCTATGTGCTATATATGGCGGCATCCCTTTCTAACTATGCTCAAGATTAGATCAATCACTGAGAATCTTTCTATAATACGGGCCTAAGAGCGGAAGATAAACAGAATGCGTCAGAACAGAACTTTTCCGTGCAGCGAACGCTCAGCTATCAACATAGTGTTGTAGGTAGGCTACGGACTTACAACCTGACTATAGTTCAGACCTAATTCCATCATCATGATAAATGTATATCTAATGAGATTTGAACATTTATTAATATTTTCACCTTTATATACTAATAGCTGCATTTTTCCGTAATCGTCAAAGCAATTTGTACCTAGCTCATCCCCAATCCGTTTAGTAGTTTTTTGCGTTACAAACTTACTTAAAGAAATAAATATTTCTTACACACACACTAATTAACCTATTCCAGAAAGTAAGAACTGTAAGGCTTTTGTTATGGGATACTAGGGCAACGTGTAGAATACATTTAATGATACACAATTATATAAGTATATACATTTTTCTATATTTAGAAATACATATAAACATCCATGACTTAATTACAAATGCTCGTATTCATCTCACAAAAATTTGCCCCAGTGGGATTAGACTCCGACCCGGACCTCTGTGTAGGGGACATCTTGAAAACCAATGTACATACTATACGAGCCACGGAGGTCGTCAAATAATAAACACACACACACATACAAACTTACACATTTATGATATTAGTGGGATCGTATGCTTTTGTTTAAGTTTGCTATTTTCAGACCAAGTATCGTCGTTCTATTCTATTACGACAAAAATATTTTTTTGTCGGTTTTCGATGTTATTTGTTAGAGACTTTGATTGAAGACGCGTTATTTCAGCTAGTTACGAGTGAAAACAAACAATGTCTAATAGAAACTTGAACAATATGGAGATCAGTTAGTCAATAGTGTTAAACTATCTGCCGGCCGGTTGACCCTGAGAATTTCTTTTTGTTGCTTTTAAAGTTTATATCACTTACTTCTTAAATTTATATCAAGCAAATTTCTTCATACTTTGTTCTAAATAATACCTATTTTTAGTAAAGAACTATGAAGACGCATTGGCATTTTCAACAAGCTTAAATTAAATTTATAGAATTAGTTCCCAAGGCCACCAGACTTTATATATTTTGTGATGGACATAATATGTTTAATCGAATAGTATTAGGGTATACAATGAACGTATACATACTCGCTAGCTTGTGCTTTGGGTAAATTTCTAGGTGTCAGGTGGCATAGGTAGGTTATACAAATTTCCACATACTTTATTTACAGTAAGGATTTGGGAGGATTCATAAAATTCATATTCAAATTTATTTATTGCACTCATGTGATTATTACAGATGTTGCATAAAAATATAGATACAGACACATGAACCCTGATAGGGTAGAGCAATTTACAACATATAGACGATAAAGGACATTTTATATCCTTTATTAAAAAAAATCAACTACCTCAATTCAATTACTGTTTACTTGAACTTTTTTAAATATATATTTATATGTATATATTACTAATAGTAACTAATAACTTAGATCTTCACAGTCAGAAATAGCATTCAATAAAAATAATAATTTCAAATAAAATAACATTACGTAGGAACATTAGCAAAAAATGAGGTCTTACTTAAATTAACTACTTCTAAAATTGAAGAACTCTTGCATCGAATAAGACTGGTCTTAGACAAAAATGACTTAATTATGTAGTTGTATAATGTTTCGGCTTTTATATGTTCGGGAATTTTATTGTAGACTTTCACGGCCATAGCAAAAGGTCATGTTTGTACTAAATATAATTTGGAATTTGGAGGGGCTAATCTTTGACTTGTTGTGGAAAAAGATGAGTGTGTTTTCTAACAAACATACATAATTCCAAAATGTATATACTCGTAAGGGTTAGAATACCATCAC